GGGGGGGGGGGGGGGGGGGGGGATTCACGACTGAAAATAACAAGCAGTGAGCGCCTCCCACTCTACCGCGCCCCACTTCGGAAAATCTACAGCAGTACTTACCTCTGTACCGCTCCGCGGGTAGCGTTGCTTTCGAACAAACGATGCAACGAGGGACACCACCAGCCTCGCCGAGGATATCAAGCTTGGTTGAAGTAGGTTGGGTTGGGGCTTAACGTTAGGGATACGACCCCTCCCCCTTTGTATTTCATGTGCATGATATAAACGCTCAGTAACCCCACGAAGGCGGCCCAGGGATCCTTCGAGGATTCGGAGGCTTGGCCCACAATAGTCTCGGCCGTGCCGGCTGGGGTTCTCCCCCCCTCTCGAAAACCATTGTTGTAGCCCTCAATCTGCTGTGTCGTGTAGGAATTCAACCAACTCAACAATGTCTACATCAAGCGGGCATCACTCAGTCCTCACCATCGAAAAAAAGTGCGGTTCGATATTAAAAGACAACATATGCATGCATGTACGCCCCGCCGACTTGCGGCCCCGAAGTTTTCATTCTTGTCCGGAGTGTTGGCTGATAACTATGACGTTGCGCATCATCACGGCGAGGCTAGACTGCTGTACACTCTACAACATCACTCGCCCTTACAGAGAGCAATGTTGCAGGATATACAACAGTCTAGCCTCACCTTGGGAGATACGCGAATTTTCAGCCAACAACCAGTGAGAGCGAGAATCATCGGACAGGGGAATAAACATCCGGGGCCGCAAGTCAGCGCGGCATAAAACATGCGTTGTTTGTGTCGACGGGGCACATTTAGTAAGCAGGTCGTAAAACAAGCGGTGCAACTGGTGGCATGAGCTAGTACCATATTCATGAGCGTGAAGGGACGAAAACGAGCCTGATCGGGCTCTGGGCACTTGAGGCACCTGTACTCGGGCGGCTTGCCGAACAATACGCCTCGACAAACAATTTCATGTCTTTTATTGTGCCGTGCCTAACCTTCGTGTGCGGGACCGCTCTTGAGATACTGTAGTCCTAACAAAAAGTGCAGGGTACACACGAGTTCTAGAAGTACAATTGTTAGGTTCGCCGCAGGGCGGAGCTTCGTGTCGGGGGATCAGCCCACTCACGATGGAAAACACGTCAAACGGTCAGGCCGGGCCCGTTGGTGTATTCGTGCACGGTGGCACACACACCGATCAGACATAACATCGCTACGGCGCTGCGTGCCCGTCAGTCTCTTCATGAAATACTTGTTATTTCGACGGAACCCGCCGGTTTCCGGCCCGTGATGAACTGAAAATAACAAACACCAAATCCACGCACCGCCCGGAGATTGTCGATTCAACGGGGTGCCAGTCACCCCAGGGCAGACAAGACCTCAATCAACTGGCGCTGCCCTCCGAGGTGACAATCATTTGGGGCCGGACACGACCTTGTTGGAGATGGTATGTTATACCTGGTATATTTTAACAGCAGTCAACACGTTCCACTATGTCATTCCATTCCGTGTATGCATACGCGCAACAATAACCTACGCCGCCGCCGCCTGCCTGTACAAGTCAGTAGTTGTCGTGCGGTACCCTCTTGTCTGACAAACAATCAGCCCTATTGGCTGCTGCGAAGTGTTGCCGCACGGTGCGATCGATAAGCCGACCGAAAACACGGGGTGGCGCAGACAAGCTAGCTGCCCGCGCCAGTCTGTCCATAGCATGCGCCCGTCTTGTTGTGAGCAGGGTTTGAGTCGGAGGTGTGGTGCTGCAGCAGTCACACACAAGGCATGGATCGGGGTCACTGCTGATTCCCAGATCGAAGTTCGGGAGGCCTTCCGCGTGGATGAATAAATTCGGTTGCATCCTATGCTGTTCCACATGGGTGCACGACTGACTGCCGCTATGTAGTCCAATGCTACACGAATTCCTTTCGTTTGGCTTCACTTCCCACGTAGTGTAGAGAGAATTCCCAGATAGGGTAGAGAGAGCAGATGGATGCCCCGCGGCCCCATCACTGGCCTATTTATTCATTGTGGGTTGTTTCTGTAGTTGACCTTTTCAACTTTCTTCTCACCGCATGCTCAAATTGCTGCGCCCCTCCCACGGACGGCTTCGGCTGAGCAACGCTCCCACCAGCATCTCCTCCCGCCCCGCCCTTCCGTGCCTTACCGCCCGCGCCATGGTTCTCTGCAGACACGTTCACACCACAGCAGCAGGTGAATCGATTTTTGGGAAAAGATGCGGTGCGGTAACGAGAGCGGATGGAAAGGTGGGAATGGTTTTCGCATTTTGCGAGAAGGTCACACGGCTTATTTATTATCGTCGCGCACTTCCTCTGGTGGATCGCAACGAGCTTGACGGACTGGGGGAACCAACAAGCGAGCTACGCACCTCGGTGGGACATTGTCGCTGCAGCCACCCGCAGTGCGGCTGCGAACTATCCGGGTTCAAAGGCTCGGCAAGGCGGTGTTTGTCTCTGTTTCTGTATGATGTTTTTGATGTCCGGGGTTTTTGGCCACGGACTCAAACGAGACCACCCGAGCCATGCTGCTTTTCTGCTATAGGGCAAGCGAACGACCTAGGCAACGCCATCATCGTGGATTTCAACTGCTCCAAAGGAAGGAGAAAGGGCGGCATGTTGTATCAGTCCTGAAACAGAGCCCAGGGGAGGCACTCTCCATAACGATGATCAACGTCGTGCACGGTGTGTGGGCAAGCATACCCCCCCGCAGACCGACAGCAGCAGAACCCGGTCCGTCTCTGACCGATCGGGTACAGCAGCATCTCTCATCTCTTGTCGGGGGTTCGCGCGGTGTACACAAGAGGCTGATCCGAGGGCCGCATGGTCAAAACGTGCATTCAAAGGCTGGGCATGACTGCTGCATCTACTATAGGTTTTTCAACTCACGCTTCCTGTTGCCTGTCCCTGCCGTGGACGCTGAGCCGCTTGTTGCTGGGCCTTTGGTGGCCTGTGCACCAGAGCCTGTGGGGCCCTGGGCTGCTGTTGCTGCGCCGCCGCCGGCGGAGATCACGGGCGCTGCAGACTGCGCTGCGCTTTGTGGGCCTGCATTTATCTGAGTGGGTCTTGCGGACATGAAGGATCTAACCTCTTGTTGTAGAGCTCCCGCTCTCGTGTTTTGACACAGCAACGGGTTCGAGCCCGTCCCGCAGAGAGAGGGGAGGGGATGATACGGGAATATCCCCGGACGTTCCACAACACGCCTCGAGCGAAAGGAGATTACGGAGATCTGGATCGGGTCTAGTTCGAGAATTTTGTGTTGTATGCATAGGGTCGCGTGCTCGTTGTGCATTCCGGATCTTGTACGTCCCTGCGTCTCTGCGGTGCTTGCTTGACTTTCGTTCCCGCACAACAAGAAGGTTATCTCCAAGGCACTCGCAGGCCAAGCAAGCTTGTGGAGTCCTGCTGGGAGCAAATCGGCACAGCAGCAGACGAAGTGTAGTAGCGGATCTTCGTTATAATGTACTTCATTGTCAGCGCACCTTCATGCGACTCGTCGAATATCTCACGGCGCTTCGCGCTTGGTGTTGTGAGAGCCTCGTCCGGTGAGAACCCGGCGTGATCCGTCCCGGCTTTGTAGGGATGCGAGGTCAATGGTCTAACGACTACGGCATGCACCACTATGAGCACACACACACACACCCGCTCGAAGACCGGGTGCATGAAGTTGCGGAGTGTTCGTTGTACTACAAGAGTAGGGAAGTGTGCATAACTGAGCTGGGAAAAATAGAAAAAAGGTACAGGGAGATGTTTGAGGCATGGAACACTTGTAGCGAGGAAAAGACGATTGCCGTAGTGGGGCATAGAAAGTGGGTTGAAAAGGCGGGAAGTGTTATAGACAGGATAGATACACTAGTGAAGACATTTTTGAGCCACGTTTGGCAAAGAATGAAGGGAAAATTGGCCATTGGTGATCGGTCCTGTGAGAACAATGCTCTGTCCCCTCGAGGACGCGTGGTCAATGGTCTAACCGCTAAGACNCCCCCCCCCCCCCTGACCCCCCAACACGACCCATGGTGGGCCGTACGGGTGGTGGTTAGATGTTGGGCCAGACGCCGCGTGGATGCTCGGTCGGCCGGTGAGGATTGACTGTATTCCCCAAGGACGTCGACACAGCGTGTTTCGATTATTTGTCTACAACAGCCCCACAAGCCTGGCGGTTGTCGCCGACGAAGTTGCAATACAGAACAGCAGTAGTCCCGCATGCCAAGGGGCAGGACAACGAGCATCAGGGCATTGAGGTATTCGTATTGGCAAACGAATTGTTTTTTATTTCACCTCGAACCTTGGGTATGAGTTCATTTCTTTATCATTGGGATACTCCCTTGTGATTCCTGATTTCTTAATTTCTGACTTCTTGTTTGGTGTTGCTGCTTTCAATCGTCATAAAACACATCGATCCGATCTCTGCTCGTACCTTCCAATACCTTACAAGCTTTTGTACTAATCCAACTGGCGCGGTTACCTTCCATATTGTTGAGCCGAAACCATTTTACGGCTACAGGGAGGGTACCTCAGACTGCAGGGATGTGTCCATCAGATTCATCGGCACTGTACCAGCCACCCGCCACTTTTTCAAAGAACGGGACAAGTTGAACTTTGAATTTTCTGTTCGAGGGCCTACGGACGTTTTGGTTGGATATGTCTGCCGTATTTTTTCGTGTAACGCAGATGGTAGAGACTAGTGTACTGGTAGGGGTGCCGTGATGATATACGGGCTTCGTGCTTAGTTTGCTGCCTGTCGGCACTCCCTTTTCACGCCACGCCCTGGTACGGGCGTTGTCTCATTTCCTGCAGTAATACACTCGTGAAGTACGCAGTACGACTGTAATCCTGTTCTATCCGTATCGCGCGATTTCACCGGGGGTGATACTATTCACTCATCACTGTTGAGGGATTCCACTTCACTATGTTTCTCTGAGGGAACATGACACCGAAAACAGTGACTCGACGATAACGAGCCTCCTGAAAATGTGAGCCTGACTTTCTGACGAAAGAAAATCTCACGAGTGGGCTGCGCTGCCTGTACGGCACTTCTACACACGCTATCCCGAACAGAAATACGGCGAGCAGCCAGTTGATGCTTCCACGTCCGTCCGCTGTCACAAAGGCTCAGCCCGTGAAACCAAACCTCGTTCTTGGGATTATTCTCACTTAGTTCATGCGCCATTCTTTCCCATCCTTCCAGTTCAACGTGCTGCTGTGCGGCCGGTGGGTCGCCGGGTTCCTCAGGGTTGCCTTTCGGTAGGCTTCCAACGCTTGCCCACTTTCGGCAGCAGACAAGGCATCGGTAGAGGTAATAGATGACCCCACGCTAGAGGCCAAGCTTGGGGCCCCTACTGCTCTACCCGCCCTCCAGGTCGGCGAAGGGGCGACGTGGTAGGGCCTGGACAGCTCTGTGTCGTTCCACGGTCTCAAGTACTTGGCGCGGATGTTGTTGAACGGGACCACATCCACGAAACAACCACGACCTCCAATGCCACCGTCGCTGAACGACCTTCGTGTTGTCGCGGTATTTTCGTCGTCGGTGACGCTATCCAACCTCGATACCGCACGCGCCTCCGACTCCCCGTTCTCGCCCACCGAGCCCTCGGGTGCAGCCCCATCTCCCGGCCGAACCTCGACGGTCTCGTCGCCGTGCACGAGCCCTTCGCCTGCTCCGTCCTCTTTTTCGCTAGACAAGGAAACGTCCACTTTGGCACTGCTTCTTGCCGGGGAGAATCCTGCAACGCCGCCACTCTTTCGGCCGTTGGAAGAAGCCGCGCAATTCGTTGACGTGCTGCCATCGTTGGCCGGCAAAAGCCCTAGCCCGTCCTCCTCCCAGTGGGGGTCGTCCCTGGGCGTGTCCATCTCGACGTACCCTCGGTAGCGCTGCGCGTCCATCGATGATTTCACGACGCGGTGACGGTAGGCCTCGAGCCCGCCCCTCTCCTGCCGAGAGGCCTCGATCGTGCGGGCGTAGGTCTGGGCGGCGTGATCCTTGTAGATGTTGGCATACCTGGAGTACACTCCTTCGCGCGCGACAGAAACGCCGTGGAGTTTTCGCTGCCTCGCGGTTTCTAGGCGAACCTGGTAGGCGTTGGAACCACGCGGCGGTGATCGCAAGATTGACCAAGAGTTCACGAGCATCGACCGGCACTCAAAACATTCGCATTCTACAGCTCCTGCCCTCCGTTCACCTGTCCTGCCATGGCATTGCCTAGGAACGTATACCTGCAACGCAACGCTAGGCATGTAAGTGAAGGCGGAGGGGGGGTACGTTTGTTCTCGGGGAACGGGTTTTTACAACACAAGGGTGCAATACATAGATGAGGAAGGGTCACGCTCGTTCAAAGGGTACTAAAAGCTCCGAGGGGTGAGGTGAAGTCAGTGGCACGATCGGCCGGACTCGATAATAAACTTCAGTCCTGGAAGATTTGCAGTTCTCGAAGCTTCTCCACACTCATACTTGACTGCTGGAAGAGCTGTGCCTTGCCTGGGCAAATATTTCGATGTGCCACGGGGCGGGAGGCAATGCTGCTGATGCACCCTTTGTAGCCCCTTCCCCCTCTTTGAGGACGGAGTAGTCTTTCGCGAGCACCGCGGCGACCTCCAGGAAGCCTCGGAACTCCGCACTCTGCCAAGATAGAGTAAGACAAACCAGGGAGGCCAACGTGGGTGAACACTGGCCACGGATGCACGGGGCGTCGATAATTGCCAGATTGGGGTGGGGGGTGTACTCAAAGTCGTGCATGCCGTAGTCGTTAGACCATTGACCTCGCATCCCTACAAAGCCGGGACGGATCACGCCGGGTTCTCACCGGACGAGGCTCTCACATCACCAAGCGCGAAGCGCCGTGAGATATTCGACGAGTCGCATGAAGGGTGCGCTGCATCCTGCTAAGGGTGTTCGGCATCTTGTGCTTACTTCCTTGCGTACGGATGACAGCTGCGTATGACTTGATTTATTTTCTGGTGCTTTCACTTCCAGAGACAGTTACAAGCACTATGAAGCCGCCTCGAGGGTGGTTGACCAATTCAACACAACGTGGTGCGATCATCCCCCTTGCGCGGAGTGAGGTTTCTCCACCCCGCACAACATGATCTACTGGACCACCATTCATGGTTACCNATGACAGCTGCGTATGACTTAATTTATGTTCTGGTGCTTCACTTCCAGAGACAGTTGTAAGTACTGTGTAACTGCCTCGAGGGTGGTTGACCAATTTAACACAACGTGGTGCGATCATCCCCCTTGCGCGGAGTGAGGTTTCTCCACCCCGCACAACATGATCTACTGGACCACCATTCATGGTTACCGCCAAAAAAGAATGCCAGAAGTAAAAAACAAAACGGTAACCTGGTTGCCGAGCTCACGAAGTGAATTGGCTTGTTTTACAACGTCGTTGCCACGCGACGAATACCCAGTCCCGATGGCAAACACCGGGGGGG